TTTCATCTTGAATCATTAAAAAACACGCACACAAAAAATAACACAACAAACTGCAAAAAGGCTGCAATCGTCGCACAAATAAATCACGTAAATTGCACTCGATATACTGAAAGCTCAATGTATTTTCTGTATCAGGACGCTTCCTCTATTATCATACTGTAATGAGTTTCAAGAGATCCTTTTCCTGTGCTAAGAGTACTATTCATAGAATACCGGTACAAAGACTTCCTCAAATTGATTCCTGTACTACATAATTGTTTTTTTACTGCCTACATGAGTCCTTCATTGTGTTCATGTCGTGTTTTCATTTCTCAATGAGGGGGAATCTCGTTTAAACTCTTTGTTGTTGTTATATTTTCCATTACGATAGCTTCATGGACAAGTAACTACCTTCATCTCCCGTGGCGGTTGTGATTATTCCGTCGGAAACTTGCATTGAGGATCTATGCCTAGAACACTGGACATCAAGCAACATGTTTCCGGTTTGTCTTTTGATGACCTTAAGACGAGTCTTCCTCTTGCAGCTCAGCAGTTCAAGGGAAAAGTTGACAATGTTATCCGGTCATGCAATCGTGCACATTCCAAAAAAAAAAAATCGAAACAAAAAAAGAGACAAAACAAAAATGAAAGAAAGTATGCATGTTTTAAGTTGCATGGAGTTCCCTTTTTTTCTATTTCGGCACCAGCTTTCTGCTATTCAAGGGGAACGTTTACTATGCTTTGAAATATGTTTAAAGAAAAAAAAACGAGTAAAGAAGTAAAGTTAAAACTTCTTTTATTAGTATAGACATTAATGAATTAGTGGTACTTTACTTGTTAGGTTTGGACATCTTTCCAGTTCACTAAACAAAGATGACAAATATAATGAAGTTGAAATACTCGATAAACCTTCTCGATATAAACTAGGGGGTCGCTTTCAGTTGATTTGTTCGAAATAAGTTATTATAAAACGTGGCAGGTCGAGCTGATGTTGGCATCAATCGGATATTGATTAACTTAAGTCAATTGGCAACTATCCCGCCCCAATAGTACAGTGTGCGCTCACAGGAAGAGTTTAAATTCCGCCCACAAAGGTATATAAACACCGGGTCTGTACTGCATTCAAACGCAACTGAACACTTCACAAAGAGCTGTTACTAAAACTGAGAAATTAACATACACTGTGGGGCAAGACTGACCTGCGGTATTTTCACATAAAAAGGAAAATAATTGCAAGAATTATACGCGAACGCTGTGAGTATATTTTACTTAGAGTACTCAGGGAATTTGACTACAAAACAATCGATTATGATTTTTTTTGCGCAATGTGAGGTCTTAGCGCAGATGAGTATTATACATATATTTCTGTTGATTAGACAGTTTTTTTTGTATGATTCAATATAACACATGAATTCCCGTTAGTCATCTAAGTGATTGGTCATAATGAATGGACGTTTAAAGCAGCTGTCTTCAGACGACAGCGAAGTGAACATAGCTCTGATTAAGACATTTGAAAACATTCMTTGCGCTGAAACTTTCTCATAGTAACAGCCCCACCCACCGAATTGGAAAGACTTTAGGCGAGAACGAGTTTGAAAATCAACGTTATGTTGTCAGTTTTCATTTGTAAGTTCATCTATTGTGGCGTTAAAAACCAAAAAGTATATTCCTGTCAACCATTTTACAGAGAGATTGCAGAATAGAAAAACTCACATATGACCATGTCATGTCGATTTGAAACGAATCTCTCAAAGTCACATAATTATTCTCTCACGCAACTTTAGTACATTCATGCATTCCCAAATCTCATATTGTGTGCGAGTTTATTAAAACCAAATCTATATTTCCTGAACTTCCGTCCATCTTAATGCTCGAGTAGGTGTAATTGTTGTAAATCAGTGTACTTTAGACGTGAACAATGATGATTTTAATTTCCTTTTATAGGGGAACTTCATATCCGGTTCAGTGGGGTTATACACGCTTTTATAACCAGACTTTACGATCGTAGCTTTGGATATTCCATCTCATTAGCGAAGCTAAACCAACATGTGGCTGTTAGTATTRCTGTGTAGCTGCTGTCTTCATCAGATTGCRTCGGCAATTCGTAAGTATTCGTAAGGGAGGAGAGGGCGGAATGCTAGCCCAKRCGGCGATAGGGTCTTAATTTGTCCCAACCAAAATTGAACACAAAACTATCGAATGTTGGGCTTTGCAAAAATTTCGAAAGAATTACCAGGGTAGTCCCCTTCTAGACCTCACAAAGGTTTGCACTGAACTACAATGGTTACAGACGTTGGCGCTAAAAATAAGCGAGGTCCTAACATACTAACAAAGCTCTCAAAAACCGTTCGACATCTCTTTTATTAGTATATGCCACCTTTATATTTGAACTATTCTGATGTATATTCTAGTCATTCGTCAGATTAAAAGGTTTTTGATTGTTGACCAGTCTTATTAGACTAAATCCATTGGTTTTAGTTTCTCAAAACACCTTTTTAGAATTTCACTAATTAAAGAAATATACCTTGGTCATCATTGAATCTCAAGAGTATTGGAATTGACTCTAACTTTATTTGTTCTTAGCATCATTCGCGGCTGAGTGTTTACGAGAGCATAACCAAATACGAGCAAGACACGGAGCTCCGCCTTTGCAATGGGATTCAACCCTTGCCAGACATGCRCAGCAATGGGCTGACAAGCTAAACAAGATGGACGCTGGATCAATACACGACAAGAGAACACGAGAAGGAGAAAACATTGCAGATGGGCCAAATATGTCTTGTAAACAAGGAGTAGCAGATTGGTAAGTATATCATAACTTGGGAGAGCCTACGTAGCACTCAATTGATGTAATATATTCATAAAGATATAATACAAAACACATAATACAATAGAACGAGAAACAATGGAATACAATACATTTTATGAATACATTACATCAACTGCGTGCTACGTAGGTCACCCCATCATAACTTCCCCTTTCCATCTTCCCAGTCTTTTCCTTACAGTTTAACCCAGTTAACTACAAAAGTCTACATCATCCGTCAAAGCTAAAACCGGAGAGGATCACGGGAAGGCAATTGACTCTTATGAAAAAGTTTAGGAGAGCTTTAGTTCCTGCATGAACTGGCCTTTTTCTCTGAATAATAATGATATGTACACGCCTGCGAAATGGCTCAAATGAAGGAAATATAGTTTGATGTTTTTTTAATGTTTTTTTTTAGGTATGAGGAATATTGCGAGTATTATAACGAAGATTATTGCAGCTTTCCACCTGCAAGGCATCCATATGGCGGTGTGATGCATTTTACGCAACTGGTTTGGAAAAAGACGACCAAGATGGGAGCTGCTATCTCGGGAGATTACCTAGTCGTTAGATATTCACCCAAGGGTAATAGTTATCGACACTATGCCAGTAATGTGCAATGTGCATCCCAGGCATTTAATGATAAAGTCTGCTAATGTCGTAACTGTGTATCTATATACAGACAGTATCAAGAAGGCACAATCAATTAAGTATATATTATATTCTTCTTTCAATCGTTCATTCTTTAACAAGTTAACGCAATGCAATAAAAACACAAATTGAAACTAAGTGACATCGTATTTACTTTAACGCGGGGCCGTAGTCCCCGGTACCATTTGCCCAGTTTTAGCTGCAGACCAACTTTCACTGCAAGAACCATCTCTTCATCGAAATACCACTTCGAACAACTAAGTAATAGTGTTATCGCTGCAAACTGTAGTCTCCTCTCGCAGCCGTTAGGACGTTCGTTCCCAGGAGTGACCTGGGAACGAACGTCCTAACGGCTGCGAGAGGAGACTATGCAAACTGGAGCAATTTTTCAAAAACAGGACAATTCTAAAATAAAAATTTCTAGCTACGACACGGTAATGATGTCCAGAATTTAGCGCTCATTTCTATTTCTGCAATCATCTAGTATAAGATGTAGTGTCCRGTGCACATGACACCATTAGAAATTCATTCTCATCCAAAAGAGAAAATGCTCAGTGCTAAGTACATCTGTGAAGAAAGAAATTGATTTTAAATTGTATTTTCTAAGTTATGGGCAATTGAAACTTAGAAAATGCACTGAAGTGACGTCTACTAAGGAATGATTTAATATACAAAATCATGAAAGAGGACGTTATTCTTTTTGTTACAYTGGAAAAAGCATTTTCAGATCTCAATTATTACTATGATTAATGATTTGAGCTCTTYAACCAAGAACAGCATAGCACAAGCAATAATGTAAAAAGTCTGGATCAATTCCTTAGTTGACGTCACTTCATTTGCATTTTCAATTTTCAAATGTCTATAACTCAGAATATACTATTCAAAATCAATTTCTTCCTTCACAGAAATGCTTGTCAGCGTGTTACCTTTCGGATAAAAGTGTTTTTCTAAAAGGTGTCATGTGCACTTTAAATGTATTTCCGACAGTTGTTTACTAGGTGTTCCCGAATCCTGCTCGTGCTAGGAACGTTTTGATAAAACAGACCGATCGAATAGTAGTTTCCTTGTGGGGAGGGCCTGGGATCCACAGCCAAGAACGGTTGCCAAGGAGACTATTCAAACACACGATTCTTCCGCTTATTGGGTTTCCATTCATGTTCCGTTCACACTCAGTGTCAGTAGTCCACGAGAAATTTGATATCATAAGCGAAACTTTTTTTTCAAAACCTCGGCTGCATTTAATAAGACGCTGACGTAGTTAGTTTGTGCACTGGAGTCACGCGCGAGCCGGAGGTTCATTCTAGCTTTTATGGGGCGGAGTTTGTACACAGATTGCGTCGCATACTTCAGTATTCCTTTTATTGTTTTTACGTTCATCAAGACGCTTTGAGAAAAATCCCTATACGATGAATATCAGCGTAGGCTGGTAAATCTGAACAATAATTGTTAGTTAATTGGGAGTGTTTGTTTGTATGTTTTAACTTAAATTGGGCTCCCTGTGGTCACACAAACATTAACTGAGATCGAATAAAGTGTTAATTAAGTCACCAAAGAATCGTCAATTTCACGGTCCCATGGGATCGCCTGGTTCTTTAGTAGAAAGTGTGCCTCGGGCGAGTTGAAAAGAACCCTTTGTAGTCTTTGTTGGTTATGATTATTTGTTTACAATACGAACAAACATCGCGTTCCATTGACTGACCAAAACCTGTTATCAAAATTCATACTCCTTTGACCTGTGGTGTCTGGTGTGATTCTACGTGGATGCTTTGTGGCGCTTAAAACAGACCTTGACTCAAAGACATTTGGTGAATGAATAGACGCATAGCTGTTCCTTGCTTTTAGTAAGTCAAGCCGAATTCACTCAAGAGATTAGCCAAAGGATTTCGTGTTATAAAAGATCTTCACAAGTCAAAATAATGTTGACTTKCATGTCTTGGTAACTGTCATTAGAAGTGATCTCGTAAGTCATTGTCAAACCTTTAGTCAATTTGGTACGTCGYTCCTAATATTGGAAGCTTTGATCAACGATGTTACAAGGTAATTGATCAATCGCCGTGCATTGGAACGTTTCGAAGAGATGATCGTGGTTACCATGGAATCAAGACTGTAACTCCACTTAAGACCTCTACATTAGTATCAGTAGATTATCGAACAAAGCAGACTGAAATGATATATCATATATCATCCATGAGMTAATTCTTGAGTTAATTGCTAAAAGAAGTTAAAGTTATACGTAAGTACTGCATCTCTTTATTGATGAACCGACTTGAGTTTTACGCAGAAATATTCGTGATTGTACTGATCACATAGTGTGTTACGCAGCGTAAATTGTATATTAAGCATGCTTTACCAACATTTGAATTCTTCTATTCAACTACTGGTKTTTTTRCKTTTTTTAGTATTCGATTTTATTCTTCTGAATTGTTTGTATTTGCGTTATTRATCCTAATGAGTTATTTATTGGTAGATGTGTGTATAGGGTGTTAATTATTACATGAAAAAAGCTTGAAGAGACTGACTTATGCCAGAAAATACTGGGCTGAATACCTGTAATTAGCTCTAAATATGTAGTATGTAACCAAAGATGCAATGTGAGCTATAAATCTCCGCGGAAACGTGCGCTTTTGAACTGCTTGCAAAGGAATTTGAAAACTTTTACTTTTCGTATTAATAGTGATGTAAGGTCGAATCTATGACTCTCAATTTAGATACGTCGCTCTTCTTTTAAACCCAACTACTGGTAGTTTTATGCAGTTCATACAAAGGGAAAAAGTAATCATCAAAAAACTTTATACCTACTTAGTAAATAACTATGATCAGGTCGCTTTGAAACTTTTCTTTCATAGTAAGAGGTGAATATATCAAAAGAAATTAATTGTTTTGGAAAACATGATATAATTTTGGCAAATTTTGAGTGTTTTGAGATCCTTGTGTTTCTTTGTCTATTCTAGGTCTATTCCTTTGTGTAATCTTCACCGAAAAATCACCGCAAATCAACGTTATTGTTTTGCGTTCTGTGGTTTTTGAAGMAAGTTGAAAAACTACTGCGACAAGATATTAAACTTTTTTTATAAAAGTGCATTAACTCTAAGCTCTTTTATAAAAACACAGGAAAATTTTATTAGGATCTCCGAGAAACCTGGCTCTTTTAAGTATACAAGTTCACTGAATTAACCGAAAGGTTTTGAATGTATATCAAAAAAAGTATGTTGGTCGCCGGTCGGTTATTTTGTTGTTTTTTTTGTTTTTTTTTTTGATTAGCTAATTGAATGGTTGGTTGGTTTTAGCCAAGCATTTTCTAGTTTTGAGTAAACTATCGCTTTCTGTTTAATTCATATTTCAGACCTCAAACCATCACAGAACTGCTAACGCTTCTAAAAGCAAGTATCGGAAATGATGGCTTACGATAAATCAATTATCAACATCGACATCAACTTTGATAATGAACCTTTCATGGCAAGTCAGCCTAGTAAACCAAAGTTTGTCAAAAAGATCCCAAAAGATCGAATTACAGTGATACAACCAAGTGTAGAATCCACAAAAACTGAGTCTGATATTGAGAAAAGAGTTAATGAAGTGCAAAGGTTTCGCCGAGAGAGTCAGAGTGCCTTAAATGCACCTTTACTTGTGAAAGCATTGATAAAGAAGACATACTGCAAGCTTGATACAATCGCGGTAAGTTTGAAAAACAAATTGACCAATTCTCAATGTAGGTATAATACATCACTTCATATTCTTAATAAGACTAAGAAGTTTATCATAAAATTATCTATGAAATACTTATATTTCTCCATTACGTAAGATTTCTCTATATAGTGGAAGCAAGAAAAAGGTAAAATACGACATAATTTGCTTTCATATGTAATTATATGATAAACAGAATATCACATGGTCGCTTGGAGATAAGAATTTTATCTTCTCGTGTTGAAAATCTATCAGTCGTTCGCTACGCTCAATCGTGGGAGATCTTTTTAACACTCGAAGATAAAATCCGTATCATTTGATGTTCTTACTTATATCACGTGATACTTACTTCTTACTTATATCACGTGATCACATTGTTGAGAAAACTGCCACTGACAACAGTAGAACTGTTTAATTAAAAAAATTCAATCGATCTTTCGAAAAGCTAAAAATGTGTGTTTATATTTCCTAAAAGTTTTCCTTGTGTGAAAATATTTTCTTAATAAATTTCTCTCTCGTTCCAGGGCCGATCTTCTTCTGTGGCGTTAGAGGTAAGCTAAAAGGCCATAATCAACCGTGATGCACCGCGGTCTCGTATAACTATATTTATTCACCCCGCTCAAAAATTAGGCTCTTGACTGTATCTTAGCCTAATATCTGTAATATTATTTAAATTAATTCCCATTTCTGGCTCATAAAAGATATATCATTTCGTAGAGTGCATTCAGATCACCCGGTGTAATAAGTAGTTTCTAAAAAACGGCTTTTTACCATAGAAATTGAAGCTCCTCGCAAAATGCTTTTCGACTCTACATAAGTACATCAAGTTTGTCGGTATTTACATACATCGACATCATAGAATTTTGTAGCTTGAATATTCAAACATGGCTTGAATATTCAAACTGTTTTTGACACGCCATCCATGAAGAGAGAAAAGATAAATCTCAGTAAACTGACAAAAACTGTCCCTGTCTTCTTGATTTATTTGGCTTTGTTGTTTCGTTGATTTTAACACAAATARTAACATTTTAAATGTGTTTTTTTAAATTTCGCTTTTCTTGTTTACTACCTTTTYAATTTAGCAATCATGATAGTTTAACTTATGACGAACAAAACTAATGCTATTAGATTTTCCAAGCCGGACATWTTTAGGAAGAACGCTTCTACGAATCACAAATAAAATTACTCTCAACGCGTCACTGTTCAACTATCTTAACACTTTACACCGCCAATTGAKGAGAAAGTACACTATTCTTTGTCGAGATAGCGATCTATTGTTTATAAGAGAGTGTTAAGTGTACTAGATTAGTCGGAAGTGTGAACCTTAATTGAATTTCTATTTCTCTTTCAAATTGCTGAAATCCATGAAGTGAAATATTATATTCCTAGAGAAACACACTACCATTAAACTGTTTGCAATGAAAACTACCTTCCGGTTAAAATAACTGACTTCAATTAGTATTGAATGTCAGTATTGTTGGTGCGTTAGATGTAAATGTACTGACAGGATTAAAAGACTATTTATCACTCTATCAAAGCCGTCACCGTTTGACGCAGTTTAGACAAAATCTTCAASATGTCTAGTGGTCAAGAGCAAGGTGCTCAAACGGTGAAATTTCGGAGGTTTTCATACGCWGCAAGCATCGACTCAACTATCTCTAGTCAAACAAGGAGAGGAAGGCGAGAGCGAAAGGCTTTTCAATTCAGAAAGAGGAGAAGAGAGGTGAGCTCAGATTGACAAAAGATTGAAGCCCTAGCGTTCTCCCGTACCACTCGGTTTGTGCAATCATGTCTTTCTTATAACAAATTCAAATTTGTATTTAGTTATTATAATTCAATGAAAGGAATAATGAARGGAGAACTTTTTCTCTTGGTTCGTGCCTAGTACTGTTTTCTTTCTATACATTTCGTAATCCAATTGACAGCTTTGAAAGTTTAYGGACATCAAGTTCTGTAAATATACATAACCTTTATAATACATTATCATAAATAACTTACTTTCAAAAAACGCGWTCTGAGATCGAGTCACTTTTATTGCTACAATCCAAGTATATCAGAACAAAACTTCAAATCAGTCTGTAATTCATTGAAGTAGTAAGAGCTTATATGGAGTGAGAAGGAGATCACTGAGACAATTCGTGATTGATCCTAATCCATCTCTTGCAAAATACAGCGATATTTTAGTAATGACAATATTAATTAAGGCTATTAYGCAGTTATTAATCTGTCGTTAGCGTGAAATTATACCATTTATGATTTAAAAGGAGACAGTATCATGCATTTCTACGAGTTTGTAAACTCTGAAAAACTTCTGTGATTGTTTTTATGAATGTCAAGAGCATTTCAAGTAGAGTCGAGAGAGTCATTTCCTTGATGTGACCTTATTGGGCAGCTCTCAAATCAACAAATAAATGTTTTGGACTCCATATTGGACTTGTGGCAGGTCAATGGCTGATATATCGGTTCAGTGTAAATTGTTAAGAAAACTGATGGATTATAGGTAGAAAATAGTGGTATATATTCGCTAATTATGATTTTGACTTCCTTATGATTTGACAACACCCTTATTGTTGAACAATTGCTCCACAAGTTGAGTTCGGTTAGGAGATGATAGTCGTGGAGTTGCAAATCGCAGCAAGAATTTGCTCTTACTGGGCATTCTTTGATTGGACTTGGCACCGAGGGAGGGTTACGTTCTGGGTCCCGAGGATGAGCATTGCCTGTGCAATATTCAATACCCATAATTCCTTTCAGTAGTATAATCTCATTTTCCATTGTTTTGTAGCGTTTTGTCTTTTCTTCTGTTTTTCCTTCTCTTGAAGACAGACAACTGTACTAAGAATATTGAAAAAWTTACGATGTGTATTTTGTACCATAAACTAATTGTTAGTGCTATCACACRTCAGTACTRGATCTYTAACTTTCGGTAATATCAAAAATYCAAGCAAYAAACGATAGCTTGAAGCGGTTTACTGGCGAAAWAAACCGCGAGGGATGGTTGGGAGAACACGAGAAAAGATCAGTAAATCACGCGCCGTCCATATATTATAGCCGKCGTCCGTGGTTTACCAGCGAAATAAAACATAGCTTTTCTCATRAAATCCGCCAATCAGCGCGCGTGTTAGAATTGAGCTATAATATAAAAGTTGTTAAACCGGATAAAAGTCCTAAAATAGCCTGGAAAATTTGCAGAGGAAACTACAAAACTATAAAATTAATAATAAGAGGTGTTTTTGTGTATGATACTCACGGAAAATTTKTTATTTTCGAATTATACGGTACCTTTATCTCATGCAAATCAGCCTACACGCTAATGACCTCTCAACGTTTATTAAGCCTTTGTTTATTTTTCTGCTTCTATTGTTTTTTGCCTTTAGAATATCAGCTGCTTTTAGAAACAATATAAAATACAGCCTACGTTAACTCAAACATTTATGAAGACAAGTATGGCGCACAAACGTCAAAGCTTGTCTGATACGTTCCTTCAGGCWAGCAGGGCTCGAAGGCGATCCAGAAGAAAATCCTCATGTCGTTTTGTCTATCCACAGCCGTATGAAAAGTTCCAGTGGGCAGCTCGAGTTGTACACGTTTTGGTGTCATCATGTATGAGGTGGAGACGGTAAGAGCCAATATTATCTTGTGTTTTGGTAACGGATTTAAGTCAGTTTTATTGCTTCTGGAATATTCTGCAAACTCAATCAGTTCTGGCAAATTAAATAAAATTATTGGACTATTATTCGCTTAAAAAAAGTTTTTTTTTACAAGCATTATATTGAATTGTCAGTAGACTCAGTAAACTACGTAGATAGTTAAAAAAACCTTATAATATTAACGACTAACACCAACGAAAAACACCGAATGGAAGCTCTTAGGTTCAAAGCACCTTTTGTCAGCAAAATCTTGAGTTTTCAAGCAAATCCCTGGGTTGATTTGAATGTCAAAGTCACTCAAACTRAAAGTTAACTTTGAAACTCAGACAAAAAAATCAATAATTTAGTTCTGAAAACGTCACATTCATGGCAATGATCTTGAATATAAATCTTATGAAATCATTTATGTATGTATATTTTTTATTGGTATTTTTGGTGTAATCTGTAAGATCAGCTTGGTGTCCATGGAAAATGTACAAAAAAGTAATTACGATGTAGAATCTATGACAAACCAGCCATCTCGTTGTGTAAATAATTCCACAATAACAAAGATCATGTTGACATAAGTTGATGGCATCAATTCAATCACGGTGTGAAAATATGGAAGCAACTTATTGGTAATGTGACTTTAACGCAGGATGTTGCCAAGTTGTTACAGTTGWTTTTAACCACAAAGAAMATTATAGTTATAACCCCTTATTTTAGCAGGAATTTTATCTCGGTTTTCATCGAGAAAAATAAAAATAAATTGATAAATAGTTGTAACTTGAAAAGAATGGGTACCTTGTCAGAGTGACTGACATTGCAAAAGTATGGGATCTTTTGAAGATTTAACYAGCGAGAGTACTGAATCAAGTGAATTGTGAACAAAAGACTGTTACTACTCCAGAACTCAGAACAATAAAACCGACACCACTAAGCCAAACGCTGGGACAGTAAATAAGCAGAAATGGATATATATATTTCGTTGGTCCTTCATGATTTAATAACAAATGAATGACTTTAAATGATCGAATAAATGAATGGATAAATAGAGGGATGGATGGATGGTTGAATAAATGGATGTGTGGATGGTCGTGATGATAGAGTAAGACGTAATGGATGGAAAACAATCAGAAGTTTGTATTGACAGGTTTTATTTCAACTAAGTTTATTTTATTGAATCACAATACCGCGCTTTCGCACCGGAGGTTCATAATAAGGCCAAAAAAACATTTTACATTTATTTCAATTTACACGTACTTGTAAAAAGGTTGTCACAGATAAAGAGATACTAGATTAGAAAAATAAACTAGACGCTCGTAAAGAGTTTATTCGGGCGACGTGGCCTAGCAATAACAAATGGCTACTGCTATTTCTCGATATCTGAACGAAATTCAAAACATCTATGCTCTTGAATATGACCATTAAAACCGAAGRCTTTACTGTGTTTATTGCTGTTTTTAATTTGTTTTCGCGCAATTGTATGATGCAAATCAATATGTCAATCATAAAATGACATTATCTATTGATGGTAGGTACAAGAAAGCGTCCTCTAAAGAAACAGCGACAGGAAACCGCAGTACTTCTGATAAACGAAAGCAAAGTGGAATAGGGTTTGATTCCAAGACTTTCAAAGAAAAAAGCAAGGTGAAGATGTTTAAATAATAGTCCATATGCGTTCTTGGGGGTATACTGAAGTTTTATGGACTGAATAAAATCATGATAGTTGATACTAATGCGATATTTTCCTGATATGTCTCAACACAAATTAATAGCATTTGTTTCTGTGTAGCTATCTGAAGAACTGAGAAAAATCTTAACATCAATACCAAAAAACAGAACTAACGAGCAACTTAAAAAGGTAGTCACTCTTTATCAWTGTCAAATAAGTCAGCATATCTGCTGACTGATATTCTTTTTGCTTTTGCGATTTGTCATTCTATTCCATTCTATTCTAGGATAAAAACGGATAAAAAACGTATCTTATTATTGATATATATATTAGTATTGATGTCAATKTCATTATTATTGTTATATTGTTTACTTTTTCACTATTTGTTATTATTTAAATCTTCGCATTGTAAAGCGCAWATGAACTTGTGGATATTTGTCATATATAAATATCTCATTAATTATTATTATTATTATTACAACACTGCAAGCATATTTGCAATTATATTGTTATTGTCGCTATGATTCCTCGTTTTGCTTTTCTTCTCTCCTTTCAATGTTCCTGCTGATTCGGGATGTATTAATCGTCTTGTTTTCTAAGGTTCAAAGAATGTGCCGTAGTACACGYGCATTTATGATCTTTCCTTTAGAGAGAGAAATGGATTTAGCAAGATACGTGGCCTATGAAAGGTGAAAATTATTTCAGTTAATCTATATGATTTTTGGATCTAAGAACTGGTTGTGTAATGTCCTAAAAACTTGCATTTATGWTGCCGAGAATTAAAATGTGGTATAAACTTGAAGAATAAATAAATTCAGTTGTTKCCAATTCCAATTTCAGCAGATTTTTCAATCATGGACGTTTGAAGTCCTGTGATGAATAGAAAAATGAGATATGTCAACCGTTTCACGTCGAATTCATTTTGTACGTAAATTTCTTTTATAGATACGATAATGGTCGTGTTATTGCGTGCCAGGGACGAATTCCAGAGCGTTTCTACTACTTACTGTCAGGGCGAAGTAAGTCATATAATCACATCGAGCACAGAATCGTGTGGGATAGGCTTAGAATTCTTTTAAGCATGCGCAATGGTGACATAACATAGTGAAGAATGGCTACTATATATGAAGAAGACTATGCTAGTACTGACATGTTTAATGATTTAAATCATCCTGTATTTGTGTCAGAACCATGTGGGATAGGCTTAGAATTCTTTTAAGCATGCGTAATGGTGACATAATATAGTGACGGCTACTATATCTACTATGTATGTAAAACACTTGTGCTATGCTAGTACTGACGACTTAAATTACCCTGTATTTGTGTCGATAGTCAGCAAGATTTGCTCCTATAACCTGGCTGCAGGGGTTACTAAAATGTCATTTGGAGAATTGATGCAAGGAGCTACAACAGATGTGAGTAATATAATAGCGAGGGTTTATTGTGGTTGGGCTGCCTGTTCAGTGTACAAAAGCCTTATTGTTCATATCTTGTAATAGCCCCATGAATTAAGCCAAGGGGAGCTGAGAGAATACTCGTTGACTTGCAAAGGTCCAGTGGARGTCCTGGTTCTTGACAGAGAGGTACTATAGTAATGTCATTATTGATTAGAAATTTTCTATGTAATCTGGTGCCTTATTCCTATTGAAATACTAATTATTTTTTATAATAACAGGACTTCATTGATCTTATGAATTCGAGCCCTGATCAAAGTTTACCTACGGACTTTCTAAGGTACAAAAATAAACGGCAAAAGTATGACTAAGTTTGTCAGTTTTTGTGCCTTAAACTGAACTAACGCTTTGTTCCTTCCTTGTTTGATGGCAGGTCTATCGAATTGTTTCGTTCTTTTCCAATGGAAAAGTTTAAAGAAGAAAAAGACGCAATCACAACAAAATACTTTGCGTGAGTGTCTAATTCCAACTTGTTTACTTCATTTTTAACTSGAAGATTGCGAAGCAATCGAAGAATTATTGGAGGGGGACGAATCTGTCACTCACTCAATCACTCAGTCACTCAGTCACTCAGTCACTCACTTTCCTGTAAACTTGATTATTGTACTTTTTCAGTGTAGCGTGAGCCATAGTCGTCGTTTCCATATCATTGTAGAAGTCAATGTAAAATAATCCTGAGCTGTGGTGTGCCACAGGGTTCCTGTCTTGGTCCTCTACTGTTTGTTGTTTATACCTCTTCGCTGTTCAATGTTATAGAACGTCATCTTCCCCGGGYTCACTGTTATGCTGATGACACTCAACTATACATTAGTTTTAAGCCTAGCAGTGCTAGTGCACAAGCCGATGCAATTCGTGCTATGGAACAGTGTATTCATGACCTTAGGAACTGGCTCATTGACAGTAGGCTTCTGCTCAACGACGACAAAACAGAATTTTTGGTAATTGGAACTCGCCAACAACTTAATAAATTAAATCCGTCAGTTGTACATGTTGGTGGTCATACAATCAATCCTTCTTCTAATGTCAGGAATTTGGGTACTATTATTGACAATTCACTTAGTATGGGCCCTCATGTCAATCAAATTTGTAAGGCCGCTTTTTATCATATTCACAATATTCGACGTATTTCAAAATATCTTTCTCCGGAATCTCTTAAATTATTAGTTCATGCCTTTGTTACGTCACGGCTTGACTATTGTAATAGTTTGCTCTATAATCTTTATAATCCAAATTTTGGATTTTACGATGTTATCCTTCCTCGGACTCGTTTTTGTCATTCAGTTTGCTCTATGGTCTGCCTAAATACCAAATATGCAAGTTACAGAGGGTCCAGAACACTGCTGCTAGGCTAATCATGAACACTAGAAAATATGATCACATYACACCTGTACTTTATAAGCTTCATTGGCTACCTGTTTTTTATCGCATTCAATTTAAAATTTTAATAATCACATTTAAGGCTATATATAACATCTCGCCTAGYTATATAAGTAATCTGGTATCTATTAGGTCCTGTTCCTTATATTCGTTAAGGTCRAAMAACACTTTGTTTTTAGATCGTCCAAAGGGGCGTATGCTTTCGACACTAGGAGCTCGTTCTTTTTATGCTGCTGCCCCCACATTGTGGAACAGCCTTCCAGTACATATTCGGGAAATAAAATCTCTTAACATTTTTAAGAAACAACTAAAAACACATTTTTTTAATATATCTTATAACAAGTAGTTTTAGTCATTCCATTAAGATCTTTTAGTATTTTGTTTTGTATTTCTTTTTAGAGTTCATATCATTGTAATTATTCATATCTTATAGTATATATTATTGTAATTATTCATATTTTATAGTATATATATATTTTTATTAATTTATCCATGTAAAGCGCTTTTGATCTTTTAAATGTTAAAGAGCGCTATATAAGTCAATAAATTATTATTATTATTATTATTAATCCTGTAATTTTTTCTTTTTTTAAAAAAAGACGCGACTCAGTTATTGTCAAAGACAGCAGTGAAAGTCCTTACTTCTACATAGTCAAGTCGGTAAGAAAAAAATTGTTATCACTAATAATAAATTAATTTGATTGAATTACAGTTCATAGCAAAAAATATGGAAGAAAAATACTTAACCTAATTCATATGCCTATTACTCTTGGAAAGGAAGAGAAAAATTGATATACGATTCGATTTCCTAGGGTCGATGTAAAGTCGTTCGGCAGCAAGATGTTTTAGATGTTACAAAAGCTTCAAAGTTACCAAGCATCAGTGCTGTCTCTAAACCGCCCTCACGTAAGTAACGCGGGCTCTTTTCTCCCTTTGTACTAATAAAATGTCCGCTTTGTTAGTTTATTGACAGAAATAATTGTTCATTTCAGGAGCAGCGCCAGGGAAGAATCCAACAAGTTTATTAGAAGTAAGTTGATAATCATGTGATATCCCATGTCCCCTGCGGTCTTAGTTTGGGTGATATCACGTTTTACATCCCCAACAACAACCTGTTCTTCTTTTTTTTTTAAAAAAAAATGGGTGTCTCATATACATTTATCAGAACAATGCGTCCGCCATCTTGAATAATGGGACTCGAATCACTAAATTATAACTCCTATAAAGGAATTGAAAGCTTCACAGCTAACGTCAAGTTAATATGATACGATATAATGATAGATTACTGACTTAGAAACTACGAGACTGCACAACATTGTGATTTGGATTTGACTTTTCAAGATGGCGGACGCATTTTTCTCCGAAAGTACTAATGCATGAATGTATAATGCATGAATAACTAATATGTTTTATTTATTCGTGTAGATAACGCGATCGCTATCCGCTCAGTCTAAAAGTCCATTTCTTGAAAAGACGAGGCATTTAAGTAAGTACATCAAGTGTTGACTGACACCTGGCGATCCTAAAATTGCTTGATCGGTTACAAGTGTTTTCGATGTATTCATCCGTTCTGCACGGTGAAAAAAGACCTAGATTTTAGTAATGCTGTTTTCTCTTTGTTGAAATGAAATAAAAGATAAAGAATAAGAAAAAAAATCGCGGAGCGATTACTTTATACTGCCATCCAAGCCACGATTCCAACTTTTGCGAAAGCTCTGAAAAATCGCCTTCTTTTTCGATAAAATACAACAAAATTGCACCTATGAATGTTCAAAGAGATTAGTGGGGCGGATCAGGGAGTACCTCAATTGCAGTAAGCTGTCAAAGAACCCTTTGGTCGATAAAATAATTGTAATTGCGGCATGAGAAACTCGCACTTTGTACTAAAAAGATTGGCGTTTTTCTTTGTTTATTAGAACGACGAAATAAATCCACGACCGAAATWGACGGTGATGGTTTAATCACAGATAACGACGATGAACGAGAAGCAAAAAGACAAGAGGAACTACGAAAAAKACTAATGGAACCTGCTTGCGAGAACGAACTTTTTAAACGAACTTCAGAGTTGGAGTTAATACGAAAAGCGCCATCTGATAAACACTCTGATCAACACAACAAGAAAACAACAGAACAAGTAGTTATCCCGACAAGAAAAGCRTTGTTGCAAATAGCAACTCTGAAACCTGGGGATTTATTTGTAAGTAGATTAAGATAGATTTACATAGAACGCTTGAATATTTTACTATAAGCTTTCCTCTTGTTCCTCAGGGTTTAGAATCTATGATGCCTAAAGTAGCCAACAAAATTAGCGCCGAGGTATATYTATGTGATATTAATTTTATATTGCAAGTCAAGTCGCRAGTCGAGACAAGTATATTGGAGGCATTGAAAAGTGCCAAGAAACATTCAAAACGGTTGTGATTTTCTGAGTTACTCTTCGCTCTTTCAATGAACGCTATATCTCCAATAAACGCACACAATCCATCATATAATTTTAGTCTGAGATGGCAGTTTTAACTGTTTGTTTAATTTTGAAAAGTAATGTGAAATAACATAGCTTTCTTTAATGTGTTTCAGATAATCGAAGAAAAACCGGATCCTTCAGCACGAAGTATTATATTGGTAAGATTTGATGCAGGAACATTGTCATTTTTAGTCGCTTTATACTTCTCATTATCGGAATTAATAGTTTACGMTATCATGCTCACCAGTATCATCCAATGATACTATATTTATTTAGGTCAATTTATTCTCCTCTAGATAAGTGAGGGCGCAGAATGTGTCATGATAAATAAAAGATTTTTTCTTCTCAACGCAAGCATCACAACACTRGTWCAACTAAAAGCATTGGTAAGTGAGATAAATTTTGACYATCACCTTGATTCTGTTGTTTTATTCATATTCAATTCAAAAACTATAACTAAACGATCGGCCATCTTGTTCGTTTCCATATATGGCACTGGTTTGATAAAAAACACAGGGATCCCCTTCGAACGTCAATATATACACAATATGTCTTTTTTGCTACAAAGCATCACTGGAAAAAATCGCGCGCCATAAAGGTTGTAAATTTGATGGAAATATGATGTAAGTGTCCAAAATTCTGTAAATTTAATGGAAATCATTTACATCAAATTTACATCATTTTGGACACTTACATCATATATACATCAAATTTACAACCTTTAAAGCGCGCGATTTTTTCCAGTGCATTGCCCTAAAAAATGTCTTGAAAAGCCGTGTTTTCTTTGCGCAAATACTTCAATTTTTTCAAAGTAAATGGAAAGAGGCTGAGAAGGATGATTTTAGCGCCACAATATGAAAAGGGGGAGGACTACAACTCCCAGCATGCTTTGTTGCGAAATTGTGCCGTCATAAATTGTCTGTTATTAAATAATTCACATTGTATTCAATATATAGTCATTTCTACACCTAAATAGCAAACCTTATATCAATATCATTGACTTCTTTTTCTTCCAGCGCGAGGAATATATTACTGTTGAACAAGCTCGAAAGCAAATTCAAAGTCAACAAGCATGGAATATCTATAAAACAGACATAATYCAGAACCTTGCATGGAAATCAAAACGGGGAAAATGACAGCATTATGTCGTTCACTACCATGAACACGATATGAATCAACATTAAAAGTATTTTTTACAATTTCTTAAGGTAGTTTCTATCTATAAAATGATGTCTTTATCCCTTCAAAATTAATATTACAGTATTCGCCTTTTTACATTTAAACAGAGAGAAAATTTGAAGTAAAGGTGTTTTAAAGGGTCAAAGTCAACTAACATGCTCTGCTGTCGTGCTTCGGTTTATTCATAAACGAAAAACAAAATGAGGTTTTCAATCTCGTACCCAGAGCCCGCGTAACTTTTGGTCTGCGACAAGAAGATACGCAGGCGCTAGAGAACGCATTGTGAGGTTTTGAAATATGTATTTAATTATTCAAGTATTTCGATCCAGAGAACGTTTCGATATTTGTAAAATTATATTTTAAATCATCAATATATGCTTTAATTTTAAAAACGTTGTCGATGGCCTTTGGATATACCGGGTTTAAAGAAAGTAAAAACTTAATCTTAGTTTGTCGCAGCTGTTTTTGTAATCTTTTAKTTTTTAAATTAATATATTTTATCTTTTGGGAGATAAAAGAGATGTTYTAAAGTTCAAATAAATTATTAAAGAGTTGAATTGCTGTTGATAACAACAACTTGACTTGATTAGACTCAAATATTACAAAAKAACTCAAAGCAACTGTAAAATGATTACTCTAGACCTATTGTAAAACCTTTAAAAACTGTGTGTTTCCAAAGCGCTTTTAATATAACTGAAAGAGTGTTTTTTTTTTACATGAAATAATCAATAAAGTGATTTCTATCATTTATATGCATCAACTGAAGAACAAGAAATATAGTAATGGAAAAMCGAGACTTTTGATCGCGTGTAAGCAAAACACTAGAATAAATGAATGCTGTCATTGCAGCTGTATTTCTGATAGAGCAAACGTTATGATTTCCTGGTAACCGGTGATGTATAAATCTCAAATAAGTAATYGCCAGGAACCGATTTGAAGCAGGACTAATGACTTCATTAACAAAGATATTGAAACAAAATAGTTATATTATTGCAGCTTATGACAGGGTCTGAATTGGAGAGGGGGGGGGTTCAATGTCGGTTTGTCTGTATTCGGTGATTCAAAAAAAAAATTAAAAACATTAAGTTTGAATGCATCTAAAATGGTGCGTTATATCAACAGAATGCTTTCTAAGATTCCAACAGTTGAATCTATGAGTCTTGATTGGTCAATTGGATGCCACTCGAAGTTTTAGAGTGGCTCATCAAAACTTCAAGAAGACAATACGAAGCAAAAAAGTGAAAAAAAGTTCGGCAGGTGCATCAGTGATATTGAATCGAAATGWCATTATTTAAGATGCAGTATTGATTAGAATGCAGTCCGTCTAGTGACTGTCAGCTTTGTACTGATCACTGATTCTCGTGGAAGCCTTAAAACTGTACATATATTTAAAAATTGTATATATATTTAAAATAGCCTTGAAACGARCTAATCGAAATACTAAAACAAATGACGATTTTGGCAGAGCATTTCATTTGATAAATAAATCATTTTGTTCAAACAAAGTACCGACACCTGCTTTGAAAAACCCATCGAAAAATGCTTATCAATTGAGAGCCAGATTCATTYACTGCKAACCAATCACATTGCGAATTAMTATAGAATAGTGGCAGCTGGTTTCACAAAATGAGTCAAAATTATTCGACAACCAGAATCGAACAATTTCCMGTTYGATTCCCAAGCGATTGAAGACCTTTGAGATTGTSTAAATGGAAAATAATACATCCTCGTATCTCAACCAAACATYAGATAATGTCAACTCCAATGAAGAACTATCCATAGCTCTTTACCAGTCGACTCGATTCGTTTGTGGGATTCTTCTTGTTTTAATCATAGTTTCGGGTGTTTTTGGAAATATATTGGTATTGATCGTGTTACGTGGATGTTCTACTATCAATGATATGTTGATAGGCCATCTGTGCGCTAGCGATTTGATTGSATGTGTGGTAGACATGCCACTTCTCGCAGCTCAGTTTGTGGTCAATACCAAAGGACAGGCACTTCTGGTGATCGGCAACATGAACTTTACAGTTTGTGCAACAATTTACATGTTGAACTGTGTCATCATCAATTTAATCAGCTTCAGCCGCAAAGAAGCTTTCAGTTTGTTTGATGACAAAGTGTTACCAAAAGAACGCCTTCGAGTTCTTCTACCCTTCTCCTGGGTAGTTTGYATTGGGTGTGGYATCGTACTTGCTATWTCATCTACATTAACAGGGCGTCAGCAGTGGTATCTACCCACTAAACCGTCGTACTCCTTTGGTGCAAACTTTATTGATATAGGGTCTGGATGTTTAAGTGTTTTTATTGTATTTCTAACGCTTTTAAACCTTATCTGGTCATTCAYCACTTCTTTACGTTTCGTCAAGAAACATAACGCTATGTTGCAAAAGACCATGAAAGCAGACAGGATGGATTTAGAGAGGAAACTAACTCGGTCAGCTGTTATGCTTACATCTGCATTTCTGATCAGTTGGTTGCCATGGATTGTGGTTCGTTCAGTTCATTTAATCACAGGGAAAGTCAACATTAATGCRGCTGCATACGTCACGGTTKTCATCGGTGTCAATCACTGYATTAATCCMTTCATTTACGCCGGMAATGTCACCGAAATGCGAGTGAAAATGCTCCATTTACTTGGAAGAGTTTTCGGAAAGTACAAGGTATGTGGATGCTCAAATAGCAAGGTGAAACCAAMTAACCCGAGCATATTTTTGATTAATCAACACTTAAAACGTGGTACAAAAACTAGTGTTGTTGAGACAAAAGAAGACAATCAAATTAAGGTCAGCTACTCCAGTAACTAATAGTCTACTGACTATTTCACAGGTTAAGTGTAAATCGAATGTCCGTAAGTGAATTTGTATGGTATACACTGGCATCGTCATAGAGACATGCTCCACTCCCTGTAGTCAATCAACCTGGATCCGCCAATGTCTACAATCTACTATACCCACTTAGTATCGCATTTTTATACACCTTATGCATGCATGAGAAATAATAAYAAACCGAAGATGAGGAAGCTAGAATTCGTCCCTAACCATCACACTTTCCATGTATTCCTGGGCGTAATAGTATAGGAAGTCAGATCGATGTTGTAAATCCTTTGGAAACTCTACTGCAGTGGCATCGTTCAACTCACATGTGACTTTCTTTTGGCTATAGTTAAAGGATSTACATTCCTTAACCATTGTACAGTAGTTCATACAAGCCATCACCTCATAAACATCAAAGAATCGGCGAATCACGTGATTATGTAGGGCYAATGGCTGTAACATTGATGCGAACATCTTATTCGGGAAATCTGTAAAAATAAGAAATRAAATAARATGATGTACATTGATTTAGAGCAGAGTTCGTAGTGWAAAGTGTGTAAAAACTGCTGCACAAACTGATCTTTRTTATTACATTTAAATACTTTTCGAGGCCTATATGACCATACCTTGTGTTGTCTATGCAGTTATTTGTGTCCCTCAGAGATACTAACTCTAAATCTACTTTACTTAGAGGTTCCTGAACTCGTTTCTCATGTTTGCTAATATTTTGTTTGTTTCGATGTTTTTCTCGGTTGTTTCTCTGTTTTTTTCATGCATGCATTGCATTGTTGGTCGCATGTACTTATGGCTACCGCGATATCGCTCGATATGATTTTAACATTCTATCACCCTGTTTGGCTGTTTTTGTTTATTCCCTCTCTGTGTGTAAAACAGGAAATTCATATTTTCTTTCTTTTTTTTTTTTGGGGGGGGGGGGGGGGGCAAACTTCATCGGGACCATAATTYTTTATCATTTTCGGCCATGCTCTTTTTCATAAAGATGTGCCTTAGCTTCACCATGTTGTTTTACAGCTATCAACGATATTGAGTCCATTTCATTCAACGAAGACGGGRCAGCAATTCTTACCTGGCCGGTATTTCACTAGACAAATACCAAATTCGTCACTTGCTTTCTTCTCTACTTTATAAATGTAGAACTGTTTACAGTTTCGAACATAGATATTCATTTTTGWATSACAGCATTYTCCATTTTTGTTAAAACAGGCTTTTATTTTCATAATCCCTTCATWGACGTACGGCATAGATTTCGATAGGTATCCAGTGTTATTAGCTTTACAATGTTTTTTAGGGGTGCACGTTGTGGTCGGTCGATAGCTGTAACCATCCTCGCCAATAAAGCGGTACCAAGTGTTTGCTTTGAGTTCCTGTAGAATGTTTTTATCCCCTGACTGGAATCCTACAGATGTCAAGAACGAATCGGATCCGGAAATAATCTCATGATTWGTGCATAGTTCTAGGGAATCTGCAATCACAAATTCGCTAGTGTTAGTTAGCTTTTTTGAGTGTCTAATTGTAGCTTTATTTTCTTAAATGCACTAAGCTCAATAATCAAAGCAAAATGATTGGTTTTGGAATTGTTCCTACCATTCCTTGAGTTCCATCGAGAAAATCTGGATTCTACCTTGTTATGTAACTATTTGACCAATCAAGGAGGAAAAAAGTAACCAGGTCTCGTTCTACCGCAATTAATTAGCTTACCTTTTATCTGTAAATACATTGCTGTTTTGCTTGTTCCAACCGAATTAGAGGCAGTAATAGTGTAGATTCCTTGATGTTGTGAATTAGCTTGAAGGATGGTTGCACTTGTTTTYACTCCTTTAGACATAATYGCAAAGCTAAGAGGTACATCACCAACTGTAGCAATGTTCAGCTTCYCTTTGACGTTGTCATTGGWATACCCAACAATGTAACGTGAATTCCATGGCGCGAAGACAGGTGCACCTAGAGGTCCTAAATATTATGAAATGTAGAAAAGAGATTATATTGTCGAGAAGACACTTGACTCTCTGTATAGTATCTGTAGTATTATTTAAGCGCCATCCTCTGGACAGCGAACAATACTATAACCGAGGAGGCCTAAACACTTRCCAGAATGGTTTGCAACCCTCGTGATAGCATTAACCCTTTCGCTATGGTTTGTTCATATTTTTACATCATATTTTTYGATAGTCACCTCTTAATAGAGTACATTTACTGAATTATAATGTTAGTGACGTCATCTTCAATGTGTATTATTAATCCGTATGATTATAAATATCTTTATGCGTGCCTTACCATTGCGACGTCCCAGCACCGATGCCCTGCAACACACYGTGTCTCCAGTAAATTCGACAGCTGTGATTCTAACCATGCTAGCCTTTGTGTCTTTGATTTTCCTCACTGCATAACCAAGTGGATTTGAGTTTCCTGTGAAAATCTGTCGAGAGATTAACGGGTTGGTTGATTTTGTGATCGTATTGTTGATTGGAGGGTTGGTTATGAATTGGWCAGTGGGTTGTTTATGGATGATTGTTGCGTTGTTATATTTGTAGATCGTATTGTTTGTTGTTTCATAATTTACTAGTTTGGTTGAATGTGGTGGTTTTGATAGTTAGTTGAAATATAAGATGGTTGTTCGGGCTCGTGGTGGGTTGGCGTTTGAAGGACTGGAAGCTAGGTTGGTTGGATTGGAGGGTTACTAGTGGAATGGAGGGTGGATTTAAATTGTAGATAGATTGATTGGTTTGGTGTGTTGGTTAGGYCGTTGGTTTGTCAATTCAAATATTCTTGTCTACAATAATGTAATGGAAAGCACGAGTTGGTTTCATAGATTGTACCTTAATAATGGAATTTTCTTTGTAGACATGCCAGTTTTTTAGTAAACTATGCCAGACCTGTTAAAACAATATTAAATTTTTCCGGCATTAAATGAAAAAAGGAAATTTAATAATTAAATTCATATTAGATCTATTTTATGATACATATACCTTGTATTTTTTCAACCATTGGGGGTTAATTCCACCTGTTGCTTGCGTGACAATGCCCGTGACAATCATTGCGTGACCAAAGTTAAATTGCAGCCATTGGCCAGTAGAGTGTTTTGAGCACCAACCGCGAAATTTAAAAGGGTAGTTAAGCATCGCCATRTATGGTTGGGTATCGTTGTCTTTGAAGGATGATGCGGTTATGTGATCAAGTGGTACCTCTCTATTTCCATATTCAATGCCAAGAGACGTTGGAGAAGCTTTTTGGATTAATAATCGCAAGAAAAAGTTTAAATCACAATTTTATAAACAATTTTTTAAAGGATTGGAGTCTATTACTTATATCGAAGTAAGAGTCGAGTGGAGAATCAACTGTTGATTGCTAATGGTTTACTCTTGTTTTCCGGTTATACTATAGGATGAGGAGGTGCTTTCAGGTTTGCATCAGTCGATCAAATATGAAAATAATGAGGTTTGRAATTTAGATTTTCAGCTTTCAGAGTGTAGCCAAACATTAATTAAAAATACATACATGGAATTTTATGTGTCTGAAGCCAAAATTGAATGATGCAACACCTATAATAGGTCCCTAACCCACTTCACGTTAGTTACCTCTTCTAAAGGAATATACTTCAACTCTCATCGTTATGTAACCATGATACTTTAATGGATGGAACCTGATGAAGCGAGCCCAAATGACCGGGGAGAGCTGGTGACGAACGACATCATCCGGGCCTTTGTTGCCAGGAAATTCCTTGAACAAAAAAAATTCTATCAATATTCAATAGACGGGCAACATGTTTTGTGGAGCTCTCAATTGAGCAATATCCCAAGTTCTGCCAAAAAGATAAACAAGGTGAAAAACTGGATGGGTTGCTCCCCGATTCTTCATCGCATTGCTTTTCTACCCGCGAAAAAGGCTATTGCAATTGACACAGATARGAATATTGAAATATCAATGATTTGTGTAAAGTTGATGCTATATGAAACGATTTTTATTAGCGACTAGGCTACAGTTTTTTATTATGATATCATAGTTTATGGAATGTTTGGTATTTGTAGACAGTGTGCGCGCTCTACCGTTTTGGTTCAATGAAAATACGCACCGAAAATGTTATTGGGTAGCATCGTGATCATAAATCCGTGGTAATTGGTTTATAATAAGATGGCATYACGTGATTACCGTTTTATTTTGATAGTCAATCCACGTCTTATCGTCCATGCTGTATGATAGTCTGTACTTTGTAACATATTGATCGTATCGATGTNTTTTGATTGGTCGTGCATTCTCAGCTTTCTCTAATCGCTCAGTATTGTAGCATTATACACTCACCACGTGTTTGATGCCTTTCTCTTCATATGTCAACCATTGATTATCAATCACAGCATACGACAGACTGAACGACTCAACGAACTCATCATTGCGTGGATTCCCTTGTATTGCAATCGATTTGATCATTTTGAAATCGTTTAAGTCTATCTTAAGATACTGGTCTTTGTTAGACACACCAGCGCACCACGCATGCTCACCAAACAGAGTGCTTTGRGATGGGCCGTAGTCGGYATTGGGAAGTCTCGAAGACGATGCCGAAATAGTCGTATTCAAGATAGCTATCATTGGTTCGTTGCAGTCTAATATATTGATTGAATAAAAAATGAATATTGGAATATCATCAAGCGTTCTGTTGGTTTAATGGTATTGGAGAAATAATCAATGGTGCGACAGTACCATCCACACCCCAC